AGATGCAGATTACACAGGCATCACAGAAGGGCATTTCAGGGTTCTTCTCTCCTGAAGATCTCCACGCGTTTATTCTCCAAACATCTTTTATGCCAACACATAAATTGAGTGGGAAAATACACCAGACCTGTCTCCTAGGTAACCAGGTGAATGGCGTTTTGTCACATCTGCATCTACCTGTCTGCTGTGTATGCTAGCTGTCACGTAGGCTTGAATCAGCATCTCTATAAGGCATCCTCCAAATTACAAAGAAGGAGCAACAACATCCTGACCCTTTGTTAGGCAGAGACAGCCTGTCTGCAGGGCTACTTGACCACCTCAGATGGGGCCTTTGGCTTTAGTGCCTGGCTGCCACACTATATAGAAATATGGACCTACACTCTAGTCCCAGGGGATCTGATAGCTTCTTCTGGCCTCTTTAGGAATTGCATGCTTGTGGTGCAGACATACATACAGGCTAAACACCCATATACATAAAAATAAACTGGGCAGTGGTTGTGCATGCCTTTACTCCCAGCACTTGAGAGGCAGAGGCAGATGGATCTCTGTGAGTTCCAGGACTGCCAGAACTACATAGTGTTTTTGAGATCCTGTCTCAAAAACAAAAACAAAAACCAACAAAAAACAAAACTCCAAATAAGTTAATAAAACTTCACAGATCTCTGTGAGTTCAAGGTGTGGTAGCATACACCTTTAACCCCAACACTTGGGAGGCAGAGGCAGACAGATCTCTGTGAGTTCAAGGTGTGGTAGTACACACCTTTAATCCCAGCACTTGGGAGGCAGAGGCAGGTGGATCTCTGTCAGTTTAAAGACAGCCTGGTCTACAGAGGGAGTTCCAGGACAGTCAAAGATATACAGAAAAACCGGTCTCAAAAAGTAAAAGTAAAAATAAAGGAAAAAGAGGTTAAAATAAAGCCACATAAAGATGAAAAATACTCAGAGAATCTGGATTCTGTGTGTTATTATGCTCTCTTTGAGTTGTTTGAATGCTGAGGAAGGAACAACAGCTGCTAGAAGATATTTCTTTATAAATGCTGCTGAATTAATCCAAGATAGGAATTTTGAAAATACTTTGACTTCAAAATTGAAGTCAAAAGGTATGTTACTTTGGAGAAGAGGTTTTGCTTTTGTTTTCACAAGAAATGAGAGGCTGTGGATTCATTTTGAGTTAAGAATAATCAGGTTTGGGGGCTGGAGAGATGGCTCAGAGGTTAAGAGCATTGCCTGCTCTTCCAAAGGTCCTGAGTTCAATTCCCAGCAACCACATGGTGGCTCACAACCATCTGTAATGGGGTCTGGTGCTCTCTTCTGGTCTGCAGGCATACACACAGACAGAATATTGTATACATAATAAATAAATAAATATTTTTAAAAAAGAATAATCAGATTTGATAAAAAAAAAAACCACCTGAGAAATCTCTGGTAGGACCAGATGGCCCAGATGTCTGAGTTCTACATCCAGAACAGATTCAAGACTGCTGCCTGAGATGATCAAGACTCACAGGATACTCCAGTCAGGACTTGATCATAATTCTAAATTTTCTTTAGGTCCCCATAAGATTATCAGCGACCCCAACCAGGAGGAAGTAGCCTGGAAAACTATGCCCACATTCCTCCAAAATGGACTATTTATGTCCAAAAATTCTACCAAGGAACTTCTACAACTCATAAACACTTTCAGCAATGTAGCAGGATACAAGATTAACTCAAAAAAGTCAGTAGCCCTTCTGTACACAGATGATAAAGGGGCTGGGGAAAAAAATCAGAGAATCAACACCCTTCACAATAGCCACAAATAGCATAAAATATCTCGGAGTAACTCTAACCAAACAAGTGGAAGACTTGTATGACAAGAACTTTAAATCTTTGAAGAAATAAATTGAAGAAAACACCAGAAAGCAGAAAGATCTCCCATGCTCTTGGGTAGGCAGAATTAACATAATAAAAATGGCAATCTTACCAAAAGTAATCTACAGATTCAATGCAATGCCCAACAAAATCCCAGAAAAATTCTTCAAAGACCTCAAAAGAATGGTACTCAACTTCATTTGGAAAAGCAAAAAACCCAGGATAGCCAAAACAATCCTGTACAATAAAAGAACCTCTGGAGGCATCACAATCCCTGACTTCAAACTCTACTACAGAGCTACAGTGCTGAAAACAGCCTGGTACTGGCATAAGAACAGACAGAAGGACCAATGGAACTGAATAGAAGACCCGTATATCAATCCACACATCTTAGAATACCTGATCTTTGACAAGAAAGCAAAAAATATCAAATGGAAAAAAGAAAGCATATTTAACAAGTGGTGCTGGCATAACTGGATATCAACATGTAGAAAAATGAAAATAGACCCATATCTATCACCATGCACAAAACTCAAGTCCAGATGGATCAAAGACCTCAACATAAAGCCAGCCACACTGAACCTTATAGAAGAGAGAGTGGGAAGTACATTGGCACAGGGAACCACTTCCTAAATATAACCCCAGCAGCACAGACAACTGAGAGAAACAATTAGTAAATGGGACCTCCTGAAACCAAAAAGCTTCTGTAAAACAAAGGACACGGTCAACAAGACAAAATGACAGCCTACAGAATGGAAAAAGATCTTCATTAACCCCACATCAGACAGAGGTCTGATCTCCAAAATATACAAAGAACTCAAGAAATTGGACACCAAAAGATCACATAATCCAATAAAAAAAAAATGGAGTACAGTCCTAAACAGAGAACTCTCAACCGAGGAATCTAAAATGCCTGAAAGACACTTAAGGAACTAACATCCTTAGTCATCAGAGAAATGCAAATCAAAACAACTCTGAGATTCAATCTTACACTTGTAAGAATAGCCAAGATCAAAAACACTGATGACAACTTATGCTGGAGAGGTTGTGGGGAAAAAGGAACACTTCTGCATTGCTGCTGCGAATGCAAGCTGGTACAGCCCCTTTGGATGTCAGTGTGGTGATTTCTCAGAAAATTAGGAAACAACCTTCCTCAAGACCCAGTAATACCACTTTTGGGTATATATCCAAAGGATGCTCAATTGTGCCACAAGGGCATGTGCTCAACTATGTTCATAGCAGCTTTGTTTGTCATAGCCAGAACCTGGAAACAACCTAAATGCCCCTCAACCGAAGAATGGATAAGGAAAATGTGGTACATTTACACAAAGGAGTACTACACAGCAGAAAAGAAAACGACATCTTGAATATTTCAGTAAAATGGATGGAGCTAGAAAAAAATATTTTGAGTGAGGTAACCCAAACACAGAAAGACAATTATCACATGTACTCACTCATAGGTGGTTTTTTTTTTTTTTTTTTTTTTTTTTTTTTTTGGTTTTTCGAGACAGGGTTTCTCTGTGGCTTTGGAGCCTGTCCTGGAACTAGCTCTGTAGACCAGGCTGGTCTCGAACTCACAGAGATCCGCCTGCCTCTGCCTCCCAAGTGCTGGGATTAAAGGCGTGCGCCACCACCGCCCGGCTCATAGGTGGTTTTTAAACACAGAGCCAAGAAAGCCAGCCTACAAACCACAATTCCAGAGAACTTAGACAACAATGCGGACACTAAGAGAGACTTACATAGATCTAATCTACATGGGAAGTAGAAAGTAGAAAAAGACAAGATCTCCTGATAAATTGGGAGCATGGGGACCTTGGGGGAGGGTTGAAGAGGGGAAGGTAGAGGCGGGAGGGGAGCAGAGAAAAATGTAGAGCTCAATAAATATCAATTAAAAAAACTGTTACAGCCCTGCTCTACACCACTCCACTGAATGAAGGTCTCACCATACCTCACTCAAGAGATTTATTGGGAGAGAAGAATCCAAGAGAATGGCTGCCTCTGCCAGGGAGGAAAAAGCAGCAGAAAACGGAACAGGTGCATGGCTTGTATAGGGCTTCTTAGGGGTGGTGTCTTTCCAGGGGAAGATTATCAGGGTGGGAATTGGTCAGATTTCAGTCCCTTGAGCTCAGGTTGACTAGATCTCATGCTCAGGGATTGGTTGTTTTTTTTGCTCAGAGATTGGTTAGTTTTCTGCTTAGATGGTCAGGGGTGTATTTGGCTTTGGTTTCGAGGCCAAGGTATATTTCTTTCACTGCCCCTTTTAGCCTTTTGGGTCTGATTTCAGGATCAGAGCATATTTCTTTTTTTTTTTCTTTTTTGTTTGTTTTTCGAGACAGGGTTTCTTTGTAGTTTTAGAGCCTGTCCTGGAACTAGCTCTTGTAGACCAGGCTGGCTTCGAACTCACAGAGATCGGCTTGCCTCTGCCTCCAGAGTGCTGGGATTAAAGGTGTGCCACCATCACCCGGCTCAGGGCGTATTTCTTTCACTGGCTCTGACCCTAGGGCCAGGGTGGGTTTCTTTGGTTGGCCCTTTTACCCTACAACAGTCTGCTGTGTAAAACATGTTGGCTGCAAACTCATGAACCCATGCCTTCACCTCCTGAATTGCTCCCATTATAGGCTTGAGTTACTAGGCTCTGCCGCTTCACAATTCTTATGATTACCTTTTGAGACAGGGTCTAACAGTGTATCTCTCTGGCTGGCCTGAAACTCTCTGTGTAGACCAGGCTGACCTCAAATTTAAGAGATGAGCCTGCTTCTGCCTCTGAGAGCTGAGATTAAAGACTTGTGCCATCACCCAGGGAAGGTTGGGGGGTGGGATCTGCTCTCCAGCCTGGATAGTGGGGCCCGACCTTGCTCAGGTTTCCCACCTGCAGTTGGGCATTGTCTGAGGCAAGACACATCCGATACTTTATAGGCTTATGCTGCAGCTGGGCTTTGAATGCAGTGAACATCTGTGGGTGTCTGCAAAGCTCAGGGGCTCACAGTGGAGCGAGGGAAGCAAGACCCACGGCATACGATCCAGCACCAGTCCAGCGCCTGCTTTCGCGCCCGGAGCACGCTAGTGTCCCGGAAGCCGCGCGCGCAGGCGCAGTGGCAGCGCGCCCCCTGGTGGTCCGCGGCGGTAGCACGCAGGGTCCGCCTACCGGTCGCGCGCCGCCGCCTCCGCCGCCGCTGGAGCCCAACATGGCGATGCACAACAAGACGGCGCCGCCGCAGATCCCAGACACCCGGCGGGAGCTGGCCGAGCTGGTGAAGCGGAAGCAGGAGCTGGCGGTGAGTGGCCGGGGCCGGGCCGCCGTCCCCGCCTGGCCTCCCAGGCCACTCCAGAGGCGAGAGCGGCGGGCGGCCGGAGTCGGGCGCTCTGGGCGGCCGGGCGCGGCGCGGTTCCCTGCGGCGGCGCGGCTCCCGGCCTGCGCTCGGCGGGGCGGGGCGGGGCGGCGAGGGCGCGGGAAGGGCGAGAGGCGGGAGGCGGGGACGACGCTCCGGTCGGGCTTAGCCGGTGTGAAGGAGGCTGCTAGACCCAGCCCGGAGAGGATTCGGGAGCGTGTCGAGTGGGTACCCACGGCATATTGCACGCGCGGCGCGTTTCAGTGGCCGGAGAATGTGGTGTATTTGAGGATGCCTGGAGGGGGGCTGGCGGGAGACGCAGGACGCAGTCTAGGGAATTTGGAATGGTGACGCGCACCCGCAGCGCCGGCACCCTGGTAGCTCACTCCTCCAGGCTCCCGCCTTTTGCGTCGAGCATCCGGGAGGCAAAGCTCACCTGAAGCTGCCCTTCCAGGTTTCCATAGCAACCGGCATCCGCTGCGGGCGGCCCTTCCAGAGCTTGTTGGGAGGGAGCTGCTGATGTAGGAAAGATGGGTTTGAAAGGCTCTTCACCCTTCTGCTGGAAAGCGACACGTTTAGTGAGTGAGAATAGAGACAGCTCACGCTCTGTCTCATCCCTGCTCATGATAGCGAAGTAGATATAAAATCTTGCATGTGTGTGCATTTTTTGAGGACTTTATTTATAAAAGGGTCCATCACCTCCACTCTTTCACAAAAATGGCTCGGTGTGGGTAAGCTTGGCTTTACAAGTCTGTATCCAGATCTCAGTTTGCTCATGCTTTAATGCTCGCTTCTCCATGTCCCTCTTCTCATCACTTAGGAAACACTTGCAAACTTGGAGCGACAGATCTATGCTTTTGAAGGAAGCTACCTGGAAGACACTCAGATGTATGGCAATATTATCCGTGGCTGGGATCGGTATCTGACCAATCAAAAGTGAGTGTCAGAATCTAGTAGTATCCGTTCCATCCCCTACTAATAGGGTTTTTGTTTTGTTTTTTGAAAACATGGCCTTACCATGTAGTCCTGGCTAGCCTGGAACTCATTATGTAAGCCAGGTGACCTCAAACTCACGTAGTTCCTTCTCCCTCTGACTCCTATTTGCTGGATTTAAAGGTGTGGGCTGCCACTGTACATCTTGGGGTGTTTGTTCTTGGTACCCTCTCTGAAGTGAGGTCTAAGCTTGAGCTTGTCCTCTGACACGGCCGTTGCTTCTCTGAGTAACGTTGGACCAAGCCCACATTTGTGCCAAGGGAAAGTCGGGCCCATGGTGCAGTCGTGTGTAGGTGTAAATGAAATACAGCATGTAACTTAACTGTCTTCCACATTTTAGTCAGCCATGGTTTACAATTACGATTTTTGCCATAAGTGTATTCTAATTGTACCGTTATTGATTTGACAATATGATCCTATAAAAATTTCAAGACTTGTGAGAATTTTTCAAATCTATAGAATTGAGATGATATAACGCATGATCAATTTGTATTTTTCCCATAAATTCATCAGTTGCTAACTTACTGTGGGTGTAAGCTCTAATAATAGGAAACCATCTATGTATCCTTACGATTGTTTGTTTTGAAATAATTGCAGATTCATATAGGAAGCTGCAGAAACAGCAGAGAGGTCTTGTATGTTCTTCACACAGTTTTCTCTGATGGTTCCATTTTATGTAACTATATAGTAGTACATTATCAAAACCAGGAAACAGAAATTGGCATGATGTGTGTGTATAGTTATATGGCATCTTTCATATGTGTAGAAGCATGAGATGTAAAACTAGGCTCAGGAGACATGGCTCAGTGGGTGAAAGCACTTCATGTGTAAGCCCCGTGACCCGAGTTCAGAACCCAGAACCTGTGTTTAGAAGATGCGGCAAGAGATGACGCAGCAGTGAAGAATACACACTGCTCTGTCAGAGGACGGGAGTTCGAGTCCCGGCACCCATGCCAGGTGCCTTGCAACTACCTATGTCTCCAGCTCCAGGGGATCAGACTTTCTGTACTGCCCTCATGGGTACATAACCCCTAACACATTAAACACAAATATGGTATAATATTTAAAAAATGCACATCTGGCATTTTTGAGCATGGAGATTGGAGGTGGGGACAGGCCAGCCAGCTAGCCTGGAAGATGCAGTGCTGTCAAAAAAAAAAAAAAAAAAAAAAACAAGATCGACTCAGGCTCAACAAGGTAGCGGGCAAGGGCCAACACGGGAAAGTTGCCCTCTCATTTTAGTATGTGTTCAAAGATGCCGAGCTAGCTTGGCGCTGGTGGCGGACACCTTTAATCCCAGCACTCAGGAGGCAGAGGCAGGCGGATCTCTGTGAGTTCGAGGCCAGCCTGGTCTACAAAGCGAGTTCCAGGACAGCCAGAGCAATACAGAGATCCTGTCCTGAAAAACTAAAAAGGAAAGAAAAGATGCAGGCCTGTTGTGCTGTTAGGAAGCTCTCCTTCATGGACTCCTTTCGTCACGCTTCTGTTTCCCTGTTCTTTTCCGCCTGCTCACTGAGAACTGAGACACTCGGACCATGAATCTTTGCACCTCCGCATATTAGCAGTTACCTCCTGAGAAGGGCAGGACATTTCTGCATATCGCTCTGACGCTTACAGCTTCAAATTTAACACTGATTCCTTCAACTTCCCTCAGTTGGCCCCAAAGCAGCTTTTGATCCTGGGTCCAGTTGCTTTCAACAGTTATGGCATTAATATTTTTTTATATTTATTTATTATGTATACAATATACAATATTCTGTCTGTGTATATGTCTGCAAACCAGAAGAGGGCACCAGACCTCATTACAGATGGTTGTGAGCCACCATGTGGTTGCCGGGAATTGAACTCATGACCTTTGGAAGAGCAGGCAATGCTCTTAACCACTGAGCCATCTCTCCAGCCCGGCATTAATATTTTTGTTGGTTTGTTTTTGTTTTTTTGGGACAGGGTTTCTCTACAGAGATCAGGCTGGCTTCTGAGTCACAGAGATCCACTTGCCTCTGCCTCCTGAGTGCTGGAATTAAAGTTGTGCACTACTGCCTGCAGGGCCTACTTTCAGATTTTTTCCTTTTCTTTCCTTTCCCTTTCTTTCTTTCTTTCTTTCCCTTTTTTGGTGCAGGGATAGCACCCAAGGTGTTGCGCATGAGTGTTCTGCCACAGTGCTGAGCCCTATAGTTTTAGTACTCCACTGTAAAGACAGCTTTTTTCATGCTAGCATGATGGCCTAGTGGGTTAAGATGCTTGTCGGCCAGTTTGGTGACTCGAGTTATGTCCCCATGACCCACAGTACCCAGGATCCATGTGGTGGTAGGAGAGAACCGACTTGTGCCACTGTCTCTACCTCTTACATGCACATATCCATATACGTGCTAAATAAAAAGCAAAATATTTAAATTTTTTTTTTTTTTTTGAGAGAGGGTCACACTATACACTATATAGTGCTAGCTGGCCTGGAACTAGCTACGTAGATGAGGCTTGCTCTGAACTCACAGAACTACACCTGCCTTTGCCTCTTGAGTGCTGGGGTTAAAGGACTGTGCCACCACATCCAGCATCTCCCCAAGTATTTATTCAGTAGACTGACCTTTGCCCTGTATATTTCTCAAAGGAATCCTGGTATAAAATTAAGTTTATTTAAAAGAGACACTTTTTATCACTTGTCTGTACTAGTAATTTTATATATTTACTTACTGAGATTGGGCTTTACTATGTAGCCCAGGCTAGTCTGGAACTTCCTGTATAGACCAGGCTATCCTGTAACTCACAGAGCTCCATATGCTTCTGATTCCTAAATGCTGGAATTAAAAACATCTACTATAATGCCCATCTATAATCCCCTGTTTTTGTTTTTTGTTTTTGAGACGGGGTTTCTCTGTGTAACAGCCCTGGCTGACCTAGAACTTGCTTTGTAGACCAGGCTGGTCTTGAACTCACAGAGATCTGCCTGCCTGTGCCTCCCAAGTGCTGGGATTAAAGGTGTGCATCACTACCACGCTGCTATAGTCACTTGAAAACACTGTTCATTTATTTTATGTACATGGATGTTATGTCTGCATGTATGTTTGTATACCACATGTGACCTAGTGCTCTCGGAGGCCGGAAAATAGCATCTGATCTCCAGGGACTGGAGTTCAGGCGTTTGTGAGCTGCCGTGTGAAAAGTAACGAGTTGGGGCCGGGAGATGGCGCAGCCTGGGAGGGTGCTTTCTGCAGCCTGGCCCCTGAGCTCGGTCCCTGGAGTGGAAGGAGAGAACTGACCGCGAAGTCGTCCCCTGACCTCCACACACATACTTCGGCACACACGTCATCACAAACACAGTAGTCATCCGTAGTTCCGCATCTGCACCAGGCGCCCCAGTTTGAGTTGAACTAATACCTTGGTACTCGCTTCTGTGTTTTAGAAACTCCAATAGCAAAAACGATCGGAGGAACCGGAAGTTCAAGGAAGCCGAACGGCTCTTCAGCAAATCCTCAGTCACATCAGCCGCTGTAAGTGGTTGTGGCAGCGAACGGGTTTGCCTGCCTGTGGCCCTTTATTGAGCAGTGTGGACTGTCCCTTCCTCCCTGTGTGGGTTGGCGTCTTGGGGTCTGTGGTCACTTGTCAGGTAACCGATGACTTCTCTTTTAGGCAGTAAGTGCCTTGGCGGGAGTTCAGGACCAACTCATCGAAAAGAGTGAGTCTCTTTTTACCTTCTTTATCAGTTTATTTTAAAGCCACCACAGGCCCTAAGTTAACTCTGGTTTACCCAGTTGGGTACCTAAGAACTGTATCTTCTGTGGTTTTCTCTTGCTTCTTGAAGTTGGGAGCCTTTGGGCTTCTTCCCCAAGTCTTGTTTTGTTTTGTTTTGTTTTGGAGGTGGGAGATCTTGCTATATAGTCTGTCTGTCTGTGTAGATTGTACTTGTCCCAGTCAGACATACACCTGCCTCTGCCTCCCACTTGCTGTGATTAAAGGCCTGTGCCACTATGCCATCTACCGTATCTTTCTCCAAGGAAGGAGCTCCCGGCCTGCTGCCACGTCTTTCTCATGAAGCTGGGCTGGAGATACCGAAAGACCCCAAACTGACGCTGCTACTGTAGGGCTTATATTCCTAGGAATTTTGTTCATTGTTTGAGGTAGTCTCTTCTAACTCATTCTGGCCTAGAGCCTGCTGATAACTGAGCTGGCCTCAACTAACTGACCCGCTTCTGCTGTTTTCTAATGCTGGCCTCACAAGCCTGTGTCAGTGACTTCAGTTATTAGCTCTGCGTGGGTTTCTATCCCAGCCAGACTCCTGTGCCTTAGTCCTGCCTGTTCCAGAGTCGTTTCCACTCAGAGTCAAATCCCAACTTTTGTCCAAACAGATTTATTCAGTGTCCTTCAGAAGCTTTCTGTCCAGCTTCATGTTTTGTTACTCCTGTTCTTCCCCGTCCCAGAACCCTGCGCAGTGTGGTTAGGTGCTTGTCTGGCTACCTCACATGCTACAAATCCTTTAAGTTTGAGACAGGCCCTCGCTGTATAGCCCACGCTAGCCTTGAACTTAGGTATTAAATATTTTCTAAAGTCTATACTGGAAGCCGGGCGGTGGTGGCGCATGCCTTTAATCCCAGCACTCAGGAGGCAGAGGCAGGCAGATCTCTGTGAGTTCGAGACCAGCCTGGTCTACAAGAGCTAGTTCCAGGACAGGCTCCAAAACCACAGAGAAACCCTGTCTCGAAAAACCAAAAAAATAAAAAAAAAATAAAAAAAAAATAAAGTCTATACTGGGCAGCTATTTGAGATCTTCCTGTAGTACATGATTGGTATTGCTTGGATTTTACTGTGTGTCAAGTTAGTTTTGACTAAATGATTACATACCTTGGTGGTCTTGTCAAACATTTTTAATTTACATGTATGTGTAAGTGAATGCATCTGATCCCCAGGAACTGAGGTTACTAATGGTTGTAAGCCACTATGTGGGTGCTGGGAACCAAACTCTGGTCCTCTGGAAGTGCAGCCAGTGCTCTTTACCATGGAGCCATTGCTCCAGCCTTTGTCCCTGTGTTTTGCAAGAGGATGTTGCAGATGCTCATCATCACTGCTGACTGCTAGCCTCCTTCAGAGCTGGTTTTCCCCTGACAACTCGTTGTTTTGGTTATTTGAGTCTCTGTCTCGCTGACCTGGAACTCAGAGACCCGCCTGCTCTGCCTCCCGGATGCTGGGAGTTCTGGGACCAGATGTAAGCCAGCACCTGGCTTTGCTTCTATTTAGTTGTTATGGTATAGGGTCGTGAACGTGCTAGGCCAGCGCTCCGCCACTGAGTTACTTATAAGAACATGGGTGGGAGATTCACATGACCTTGGGCAACTTGCCAGCGGCTGCTCCCCTGAAGAAATGTCCTTGAGCAACTATTACGTGCTTATAGATCAGGGAGGGCTGGGGAACCTGTGAGTAGTTCAGATCCATGATGACGTGGTGACAGGCTCAGTCCTGCAGAAGTCACCGTAGGTGTTGTGAGTCTGTGAGTTCAAGGCCCTGTCATGCCTAGAAGGCAGGGTTTCTTAACATTCTGCCCCTTTCTCCTATAAGAGCATCCTTCCTGCTGTTGTTCGCCATGATCCTTGACCCTTTAGAGGGAGTGATGTTGATGTCTCAGTCAGGGCTGATTGTTCAATGGTTACGTGTTCTCAGCACTGGACCGACTGGTTGAGTCACTGGCCCACTACAAAAAGAAGCGTCACCTACCAAGGTTGACGGCACCAGTCTACGGATGTAAATATAAACATCAAGATGGCAGTTTCCCGCGTTCATTAGTAAATCCACAGCTGTGGCTTCTCCACTAAGGCCTGTGACCTCCCCTACCACAGGCTTTTGGCCAGGGTTACAGTAATTCCTATGGAGTGGGCATCATATCCAGCCAGTGAATGGTTGATCCCTTTGACACTCAAGCCTTGACACTCTTCCCTGGCATGCTGATAGTGTTATACACAAGTTCCATAGCAGAGTAAGATTGCCAATGACGTCTACCCCAGCAACCAGCTTAGAACCCTAAGGTATTACGAAAGCTAGCCAAGAAGGAGGGAGCTTCTAGCTGTGTTTGGGTTTGATTTTTCCATGTTCTGTAACCAAAACCTATAGTGTTTTCAATGTTTTTTAAAAAAATTCTACTAATATTATTTTGTCTTCGAGATAGGGTCTTACTATGTAGCCCAGGCTGTCCTTGAAGGTGATTCTCTTCAGCCTCCCCTCCCTAAATCCTGGGACTGTAAGTTGCTCTTACAAAAATTTTAATTTTTCTTTTCTTTTCTTTCCTCTTTTTTTTTTTTTTTTTTTTTTTTTAAATAAGACTTGCGGGGGCTGGAGAGATGGCTCAGAGGTTAAGAGCACTGGCTGCTCTTCCAGAGGTCCTGAGTTCAATTCCCAGCAACCACATGGTGGCTCACAACCATCTATAATGAGATCTGGTGCCCTCCTCTGGCGTGTGGGCATACATCGAGGCAGAATGTTGTATACATAATAAATAAATAAATCTTTAAAAAAAATAAATAAGACTTACGTCTTTCTGTGTAGCCCTGGAGAACTGGAACTCATGTAGACCAGGCTGGCTTCAAACTCACAGGAGTCCTGCCTCTGCCTCCCGAGTACTGGGATCAAAGGTTGCGGCATCGTACCTGGCTCACCTTGATTTTCTTTTCAACTAATAAGATTTAGTAAAAGTTCTTCATCTGATTTTGTGTGTTTGGGTTTCCTTGGATTCCTTTTCTTTTTAGTTCTGTCTATTTTTATTCACTTCCCTCTTTCATTTTTTAATATGAAATTTTCTATTTACTTATTACTGCTTGTATCCACACCTGTGCCACAGTGCACATCTGGAGGTCATAGGGCACATTGTGGGAGTTGGTGTCCCCTTTCACCGTAGGATGCAGGGATCAAGCTCAGGTCATAAGGCTTTGTTGCAGGAGCCTCTCTGCCTGTGGAGCCAGCTGAAGGAGGCCTCTGCTTGGACGTCGTCTGTAAAGCAGATGGGGGACCTGAGGGTCCTTGGAAGCCCAAGTGTTGATCCCATGATTGTGTTCCACGAGAGGAGCAGTGTGCTTGACCTGTACTCCTCTCCTCTGTGTGGACTCTCCAGGGCTGCAGACTGTGGACCAAGTCCTGTGTGGATGATGCCTGTGATCTCCAGGAAGGAAAAGGCAGAACATTGCTCTTTAACATCCTCTTTAACTTGAGGATTTCAGACTTTTCTACTCCTAGCATTTTATTTTCAAACCATTTCACAGAAATCTCCTCTCTAAATGCATTATTTCTGTTTCCTTTGGCTTCGTATTTTTATCCAACTAGAAAGAGGGTGGATTTGCACGGCCTCTACAGAGGACTTTTGTGTAAATTGCGCAGCATCAGACATTTTAGTGCAAAGAATATAGTTAAAGAAACAGCAAGCAAGTGGCTTTTCACCTTGTGGCCTTGGCAGGTCCAGCAGGCGCTGCTGCATGCTCTGAAGCTTCCCGCAGAGTTGCTCGCTGCTGTAGGGCTTCCCTTTCTCTTGGAAACCTGCCCTCCATCAGCAGTCACAGGCCGCAGTCGCCCTGCTCTTCTGCAGTGTGTAGACTTCCTCATCTTTGCTCTACAGCCGTGCTGCTCATTCTTTTGTCCGTGAGAAACATCCTCAGTGCGGTGCTGTCGTGGGACATTGGCTCGATGCACAGGTCTTGAGTTTCTGTGAGCTAGGGAAGGGAGTTCTTGTCTGTACTGTAATAGCATCTGGTCCCCATAGTTCCTTGTCATGTATCTTCAACACAAGTCTTGGACTGGGACTAGAGTTCTGTGGTAGAGCATTTCCTAGCATGTGTCAGGCCCGGAGTTTGATCCTTAGCACTGCAAGTCAGCAACTAAAATGCAGCTCCTGAAAGAGAGCCCATCTTTTTTTTGTGGGTTTTTTTTTTTAACTTTTTTTTTCCTTTTGAGCCATGTAGACAGGGTCTCATAAGCCAGGTTGCCCTCAAGCTCACTGTGCAGCCAAGAATGACCTTGAACTTCTTACCTTCTTGAATGTTGGAATGATACAAGCACACATACATGCACACATACTGCTTAGACTGGTTCATGTGGTGCTGGGGATTGAACCCAGGGCTTTGAGCATGGTAGGCGAGCTACATCCCATCCATTTCTCATAATTCTTGATGTCCACGTCAGTCCTTTGGGACAAGAGTTGTTGCTTTGGATAACTGTTTATCAGAGAGGAGATCTAGGTGAGTTCTGGGATCCTAGGCTTTGAGCGGTTGGACATTGAGAGAGTTTCTAGAGCATGGCCCGCTGTCTGTTTGCATGGGCCTCCTGTAGCAGAGACTGCAGATGGACAGCCAGCTGCCCTTCTGGCCCCTGTCAACTCAGTCCTTGTCTGTCCTATCACCAGCTCTGGTCCAAGGCTTTGTAGTCTCCCAACACTCAGAAAAGATCATTAGGGGCTAGAGAGATGGCTCAGTGGTTAAGGCACTGGTTTCTCTTCCAGAGGACCTGGGTTCAGTTTCTACCACCTATGTGGCAGCTCACAACTATCTGTAATTCCAGTTCCAGGGGATCTGACACCCTCACACAGACATATATGCAAGCAAAACACCAATGCACATAAAATTAAAAAATAAATAAAATTTTAAAAAAGAAAAGAGCCAGGTGCGGAATGGTGCACACCTTAATCCTAGCACTTCGAGAGGGAGA